GGGGGGGGGGGGGGGGGGGGGGGGGGGGGGGGGGGGGGGGGGGGGGGGGGGGGGGGGGGGGGGGGGGCGGGGGGGACTCTGAACGCTCCACCCCTTGCGTGTTCAATCTTCAACATTCTTGCCCCCTTCCGTCGTACGGCCATCGCAGCGAGGAGGATCCTCGTGAAGCACGTTACCAAACGTCATCTTGACCCCCTCCCCCATTTCTTATGCTCTCATCGGAGTTCGGGTGACTATCGGAAATAGCACACGGGGCCCCGTCAGGGATGAAAACCCATTGCCTAGAGCGGGGATGGCAACCAAAAGTCCTCTATCAACATTGGCATACATAAAAGGAAAACATGCCCCTTCCCCTGCCCCCGACTGCGACCTTGTGCACGTTTGGGGCATGATCACACTCGGCGGGTACTGCGCAAAATGCATTGCCAAGAGTAAACAAAGGGCAGGACGGGAAAGGCGATGACAGGAGACTCATACCATCTCACAGGAAACGTGAGGTTGATGTACATATACACGGGGTGTGCGTGTGAAGGGGGGGAGGGGGTGCACTCTTGTATTTTGCATGCCTTAGCGGATTGACCGCTGACCACGTGTCCTCGAGAGGACGGCGCGTGCTAAGGGGGGTGCGGGGTATTCGTGTAACCAACTTCCGTGGCTGTTGGGCTGTCAGACCATAAACCACGCATCCCTACGATGCCGGGAAGGAGGGACGTGCCGGGTTTTCGCCGGCCCAGGCTACGTTTCACAAGGATGAACCAGAAGCTAGCCATCATCCTTTACGTGTGCTGTGCCAATCAAGATATGCCATTGGGTTGACCGGGATACCTGAAGGGAGAGCGACAGAAGGAAAGCAGCCGTTCCTTCCACATTGTCCACCCTCTTAATCGCGAAGCCCTGGACAAACAGACAGGGAGCCGTAGGGAGACACAGCAACCGGGGCGAAGGATTGGCATGCAACGCCATGCTTTCGCGTACCGGATGCCAACACGGCCAGAAGTACTTAGCAACAAAGACACGTGACGGTGAGTGACCAGCGTCACGACACCAACAACAACAACAACAAGACAACACAACAACAACCAACTGATAGCATAGTAACGACAAACGAGGCTCCGCGTGCATCCACACCAACACCACCGTCATCATCATCATCATCAACATCATCATCATCATCATCATCATCATCATCATCATCATCATCATCATCCAACACAACCAACAGACACGTGGTGGCGGCAGCAAAAAGCTGAGCGCATCGACACCAACATCATCACCATTATCACCAGCAGCAGCAGTCTTGAGTGGTACAACTTCTAAGGCAACCTAGATACCTCAGCGAGAGTGTCCGTCTCCATCGTGCGCATCGTCTTGCTCTTGTCAACCGATGACTTGTATGCGACGTGCCCTTCAAGCTTTCCCTCCAGCAGATAAATCAGCCGGCTCAGCCCGCGCAGGGACATGCGCCGCTTCTGCGCGAGGTGTCTCCCGGCCAAGCCCTGCAGTCATCCAAGGGTCGCCCGATCGACCGTTCAGTCCGGAACAAACAATCCAAAAATCCGACATGAACGGATCCAGAACGCGTTTCTGTCGCCGGTTCAATAAATAAAGAAATGCAAGCCGTGTGTTGTGTAAACAAAATGCTACATACGACACACAGCAGTGCTTGCAGCTTGGTGGTTGGATGAGTGGTTCAATAAGTGAACTCGCAACCTTCTTGACGTTTTGGGACGGGGGAAGGGAACCGCGGCTGAATCCATATCGCGACGCGATAAGCACGAAAGCAAGCACCGCAAAAGAAAGGAAGAAAGGAAGGAAGGCAGGAAAGCGGATAACTCCTGTGTGGCCTTCCTCCCTCCCGTGTGACTCCGGCGGGTACGCGCAGAAATGTTGTACCGAAAAAGTGTGACGAAAATACCGACGTTTACAACAAATGCCACGACACAAAGCAAAACCAGAAGACAACAGATAGTAAAGCGCCCACACATAAGAAACAACTTGGCAGATAATGAACAAACTGTTATATAGCCTGAGAGAATTCAAAATCTAACATTCGAACACCGTTTGTGAGCTCGGTTGAGAACCCCCACACAAAAACCTTGTGATAACGGCCACTCATGCGTAGCATGATACCAAGAACTAAAGTAAGAACCCCAGCCTCTGCAAAAACTTGGATCTTAAGTGAGGGCGCTTTCTGTATGTCTATGCGTGAGCGCCCACGCCCTCGAGACTCGTCTCCGCTCCAAGCCTCAAGAAATTTGTCCTGTTGCCGCAAGCTTTCCCCACCGCTGATTTTGTACCTCGACACTGTTGATCATGTCATCTTCCTTTTTCCTTTCCACGAGGCAGTCCAGCAACAGCACCTCTTCCGACGACCCCGTCAACAAGTTGGTGCCGCGGACACCGCTCCTCCTTCTCCTCCACGCCCACGCGAAGTCCCCCGTCTAGTACAAACAATTTCGTTGTTGTTTCGAAGCAACAGACAGATGCGAGGACGAGAGAGAGAGAGGAGAGAGAGAGAGAGGAGAGAGAGAGAGAGAGAGAGAGCGAAG